ATTTAAAAATGCATTTTTACATAAAAATATCTCTCAGACACTCCCTAAGATTTTTCATTTCATTTTATTTTTTTGTATAAATACATTCTTTTAAGTTGTTTTATGTCTATTTGCATCAGAGTTTTCTTGATTTTATTTTGCTTATTTGTTCATATAACGTAATTTATTTTTCTTTTTAGTTTGATGATTTTTAGAATTAAAACAAAATTTTCAATAAAAATAAAGCTTGGTTATGAAGAAATTTCAAATTTGGGTTCGGACAAATCGGGTTTCTTAAACAATTTTCAATTGGCCAAGGAGAAGACCTAAACAGCCTATTCTTAACAAGAAAATGATCTGAATTTTGTTAGGAAAAGGACTTCGGTTTCAGGCTGATAAAAGCGGACATGGAGCCTCGGGTCGGGGCGATAAGAGAGCAATTCGTTAGAACAATTGATTCAAGTAGTTTCAAGCACATATGCTTGTACTTGATAATCACCAGAAGACACCAAAAATGGTTAAGTAAGAAACACTGCAAAAGAAGGCTTTACAGTTCAACTGACAGATCATATGACAATATTTACTGCCCAGTTCAACATTCCCAACTGAGACTCGGTTTCAGTGCACAAAATATACTCGAGCCTTTCCAAAAGATTTACAAGCTAATCATACTCTTACCTATTAATTAGCAGTGTTACTGTACAGCTAATGATATACCTCCTGATGATTAAGATTCCAGAAAATATATACTCCGAAAGAACAAATTCAACAGACCTTCAATTTCTTCACAATTTCGTCTTCATGCCTTGCCACCGAGCAACCTTTCCCTTTGACATTGATTTCCTTTCTTTCTCGTTTACCTGCCCACTTGATATTGCCAAAGCCTTTGCTCGATGAAAAATCACAGTATCTAACGATGTTCGTAGTGCCGGCATAGATGGCAATTTCCTTTTTCAGGCCTGAAAGGATACTTTTCTCGACTAAAGAGAACTTCCCGCAGCATTCATCTTGCATTGCTGTGTCTATCAGCTTCTGAATTACAACATTTTTATCCTGGCTAGTGCTTTCTGTTTGTTTCTGCTTGGCATGAGAGCAAAAAGTGAATTTTCTGCTGGATATAATTGAGTTATCCCTTGAAATGGAATTGATACAAAAGCTACGTAAATGATAATGAGAGGACAAAGTGGAAACTGCAGCAGTACGAGTTAAACAAATGTCAACCATAATTGGTATACTACTACCAGAGTGACGGTGACCTTGTGAACATAGTGTATCCATGTAGCCTAAGACAACAAAGAAGTTGCAGAGAAAGGTAAGTTTATGTAAATTATACTAGAGAAGACTGAATGAAAACTATGGGTTTTTACTCTTTTTCCTGTTCAGAAAACAAATGGGGGCAAGATTTTCTTCATTTGATCCAAATTGAACAGCTATCATGAAACTTTAGTGCTATGATGCATGGAAAGCAAAACACCATTAACCATTTGATATTTATTTCAATACTTTTTTTTTTTTTTTTATCAATGTAACTCTTTGAATCTGTTTATTACGAGGAGAGTAGTAGTTGTATTTCGTATCATTAGCGGAAACAAAATAAATAAATTTGTGAGAAAGACTGCATATAGTAGCATGAAGTTCCTACAATTTTTCACACATTATGTCGATTCTTTTACAAAATACTTAAATAATATAAATGTCTCCTAGTTTTATATTTCAAATAAATCAGGCTTGTCATGTCTTCAATGTGTTGAGGACAGGTACCTCGCTGCAAGATATGGAAGAGTGACCAGTGTATAGTGCACAACTATCCTTCACATGCTTTAAGGTCTTTAATCATAGATATACATTGGTTCTAGTAGTGAAACCACTCTGAGGCGAATTGACAACTAAAGGTTTCTCGGAGATCATTCTAGTTGATTCTTTCCGTCAGGTTTCAGGTATTAATCACTTTTAACGACGACAATCCCCAGCCTGCCATTTCTATTTTATGAGGGGAAAAGGGGGTCACAGCTGGATTCATATAAAGATGGGGGAGGGAAAGTGACAAGTGAAAACATGGTTATTCCCTAATACTGACCTGAAAATTTACTGGGAACTCAAAGCTGGTAAATGGACAGCCACAGCCATCACTGAAATTAACCTTCAGAACCATTTTAAAAGGTCTTGATTTGAGCATTTCCCTGAAGCACCAAAGAAGGAAGGGCTTAGAAAATAGGAAAGATTATAAGAAAATGAGGGAATTGAAACAAAGTATAGGAAACCCCTTCAGCAATCAAAACTCACTCCAGCAAATAATCATGGATATGTTAGAAACATTTAAATGACAAAAATTACCATAACTAACGGTGCAGTATGATCTTATCCCAAATATTATCACTCTACTGTCTCTAAGACTCAGAGGTTCATATTTCAGATTTCTTCTCCACTATTAGCATGGATCTTGGCGTCTCGCATAACAAGTCCTCTTTCAAGGATTGAAATTGAATGGGTACTGGGTAATGATGAAATAAACCAGTAAAATGGTCTCTCAATGCAATCAAGTTTTCTTTTATAGGGCATCTGGTTGTCTTAGATTGTAATTTATGTATGCATCTGAATAATGTGATTCATCCTCCAACTCACAAAATATGCATAACTCCCACCTACTATTGATGTCTACAGATCATGTTTAGGCCCATTCCTGGACAGAAGCAGATTCATCTTTGTGGTTGTAAATAATCAGGTTTACTTTAACAAACTATATACTGGGGGAAGGTGAAGTACAACAGAATTTTCATTGGCCTTGGACCACTTAAAGATGAAGTGTCATTCTACCCAGATGTATATTTCGGAGTCAGAAGTTACTCATGTCTTACCAATATGCCAACCATGCCTGTCGTGTAACTAATTTTTTTTAATAGGATTTAGTAAGATAACCTCCTAACATCTTCTTTTCCTTGCACTAAAAGGGATCACCTTGTCAGTCGGAATAACATCATAAAAACTTATTAGTTATTTAGATGAGTGGTAGCCAAGAATTACTAGGCAAATGCTGTTGAGACTAGCAAATGATGAAGGTAAATTGTGCAGACAGGACAATAACATTAAGCCCCTGTTTGGTTTTGGTAAAAATTAGCTCTTTAGAGCTTTTGATAAAAATTGATGAAATGTGTGGTTAAAAAGTTAACAAAAGTTGTGGATCTAATGAAATGTGTGGTTAAATTTAATTGTTGACATTGACTTGATTTTTACCATCTTTTTTAGCTAAACCAAACAGGTGCTAAATATGACTTGGAAGAGAGAAGGTAGACATCATCTAGGGTCTCACTCATAGGGAGGCTGCTTGGAGGAATACAAGGAAGGGGGTGGGACGACTTTGTCAGACTCTTTGATTACCAGATAGGGGATGGCAGAAAGCGTAAACCCAGGCATGACACCTGTTATGGTGACAAGAGCTTAAGATGAGTTTCAACCCCTATGTGATTGCTAAAAAAAGAGGATGGAATGTGTGATGTCATGTGAATAAGACATTGATGGGGTAATATGGAATCCAAATCTCGGTAGCATTTTTCAGGACTGGGAAATGGACAGTGAGGATGAAATTGCTGTAAAAAATCTGAGCATAGGTAAAAGAAGAAAATATGAAGGATGGGAAGAGGTGGAGCAGAGGGAAGAATTATATGTTTTCTGCTGAATCCTTCTACCAATTCATAGAGAATCGAATGAAGAGTTACCACGGAAATGAATGAGAGTACCAAGAGACGGAGAAAGAATGACTTCTTTGCATAGGGGGCAGCACAAATAAACATCTTAAAGGAGATAACTGTTCGCCATTTTTTGCAGGGAACATGTTTGAAAACTTTTTTTTTTTTTTTTTTTTAACAACTTCTATTTATGGTAAAAAGAAAAAAGAAAAAAAAAAGGTTGAACGACCTGTGTTATAACTGTAACAGTGCTTTGGCTATAAGGAAGTACCTTTTTAGTAAGAAAGGTTGCTTCTCCAGTAGAGCTGATTTTAGTTCTGGCCTCTCGGGGAAGGTAACCTGCATAATGAAACAAAATTGACAGACTAGTTTCACCTCAATCGGAATTAATTGACTAAATAATTTCAGAAATAAACATGGCCCCAGTGTAGGATAAAACAAGATGAGTAATCATAATCAATTACATTCTCTAGAATTAACATTGATAAAACAACATGAGGACTAAATTGGAAGGATCAATTTTTAACTGATATCATATGAATGAAAATACCTCGACTGAGTTAATGAATGGCAATGGAGCTCTTTCTCCATGTACACTAGTTACCCTTAGAGACCA